GAGAAGTCAATACGAGGTGTGTTATCAGGAAAATTACCACGTGTGAACAACCGGGGTCCAGGACAGTGACAGTCCAAGTGTGGTCCAGGGACCGGCGCTGACTCATGAACTCTTTCTGGGCCACGGCAAGGTAGTTGCATAAATAGAGGTTAAGTTGTTTTTTTTTTAAAGAAAAGCAGAAGCTTGCATCTTCCATGCTTTTAAATTTCACTTTTACTCTTTAATTTCACTTTCCTATTCATTCTGTGTGTGTGTGTGTGTGTGTGTGTGTGTGTGTGTGTGTGTATTTTGTGATAGTATCAGTCCATAGAGGGTTGAATACAACAGAAATACGAACAAGCAGCACTGGGGTTTCAGTACTGAGAGAGTTTAAGGAGGATTCAGAGAACATGTCTCAGAGTTAACCCAGCTGAGATGTGAGAACACTGGGATACTCATCCATCAACTTCCTGTCTTTCATTGCTTAAAGGATGTTTTGGGGGCATTAATTCCCTGGCGCTTCTTGCTTGCCCTGTGTGGAGACCAAGTTTGCTTTCTCAGCCTTCGGGAAGAGAGCCAGGGTTTCTTAATACACATTAGCTTGTGGGCAGGGCACCAATGGCATCCCCTACTAAGGCGGCCTTTTGTCCTCCAGATTTCTTTAGGTATAATTGATACATAAAAGTGTATATATTTAAGATGTACAATGTGATGATTTAATATACCTATGCCCTGCAAAATAATTACCACAGTCAGGTTACAAAGTCTATCTTTCTCTTCCTTCTCCCATACCAAAAAGAAAAAGAAAAACTTTGGTGAATTGATCTTCCTCCAAAGGTGGTAACATAATGAGAAAGGGAAGACACAAACAAGAGAAGATTTTTATAACACGGATAGACTATGTAAAGACCCTCAAATCAGTAGAAAAGGGCTGTGCAGATTAATAGACAGAAACCTCATTTAAGTTGGAGTTGGGGGTCTTTTGGTGGAGCTGTCATGCTCTGGGAAGACGGTGGATCCCAACAGGAAGAACTCTTGGTTTATAATAGCTCTCCCAACTTCCTCTTCTCTACAAAAGAGTTTCCTCTCCTTTGTTTGTCAGGACTTGCCTATGGTTCGCCATTAGATTGCACGTCCTGAATTACGATTCTTCATTGTTTCCGGCTAAACCCAATGTGCTGGAGAAATATTTGGCTGGCTGTGTGCTTAGGGTCAACAGATTCCAGATAGATTACAGTTTAAGATTTAAAAAGAAAATGATAGGAATAAATCATAAAGTAAACAGAAGAAAATACAGATGACTTTTGATCTCGCCTGGGGTAAAAATGAGAATTGCTTTAAACTGGAATGAAAGGCGGGGTGGGGAAGGGGAGGACCCAGCGGCCTCAGGATACAGGTTGGTACCTGTAGTCACAAACTCTATCAGATAGGTTCTTCTTAATGGGTAGTATCTGCATCTCTCCATTCAGATCACTTTCCACCTCTCCAAGATTCTCCAAATTCCTAACGAAACTCTTTCTCCAATGCACTTCTCGTAGATGTTTTCACCCTCTCTTTTCAAGGAAATGGGGCCCTTAGAACACCTCCCCTCCCCCTCCTCAAAGTGTCTGCACATTCTCTTCCTTTTATCTCCCTGAGGGGAGGTGCTTTCTTTCCACCCACCCCTGCTCCTCCTGCCTTTTCAGGACCCTACCAATGCCAGCTCCTTCCTCTCTCTTTCCCACCCTCTCCTCTTTCTAACATTTTGGATTTTGGAGGGGTTGCCATTAATTATGCCATCACCTCGCCCGTCCTTGGAAGGGCCACTGTTTGGCTCCATCCCTGCCACTTCTCGCAGTCTCCTCCCGTTCACAGCTGAAGTAGTTTACGTGTCTCAGCACAGCCCTTCCCTTCCACTCTCCTCTCCACCCACTGCAGGGTGGCCTGGGACGCCCACTTTCTTCCTAAATTACTCATGTTTGGTCCCAAGGAACCTTGAAGACACCAAATTCAATGGGAAAACATGAGGTCACAGCCTACTTGACTACTCAGCCACATCTGTCATTCTTAACCAGTCCCTTCTGGACCCTCCCTTGGCTGCTGTGTGGCAGCTCACTCTCCTGGCTTCCCTCTTGCCTCCCTGAACACAGCCTTGGTTTCTCAGTTTCTCTTCTCTCCTCCTAGTTGTTCGTATTGCAGTTCTTCATGGCTTAGTCCTAGACCCACTTTTCTTCGTTCCCCTCTGCACTCTTGCTACATTATCTATTCTCTGCCCTTGGTTTTCATTTCTAAGCATTGTTCTCAGTCCCATATAGCCAACACTGCTACTCAACATTGCCACGTGGGTGTCCTACACCACCTCAAATGAAGCATAGCACAAGCTTCCTTTCCAAAACTAACTGTCCTCTAGGCTTTCTCTTGAGGAACAACACTCCGATCCACCCCAGCCGTATAAATGCGGCAGAGCTGGGGTCTTCCTTGACCCCTTTCTCCATTTCTCTGCCTTTACCCACCACCGCCAAATCACAGTACACAGTTTGCTTCTCTCCTGCATACCATCCCCCTGGTCCGAGCTACCATCCATTGCCCTTGGATGGTTTTTCTCTTTCTACTTTTGCCCTCCCAAAGGTTTCCACCATACTCGGCACCCACCCTCCCCACCTTTGCCCTAGTAACTTCTGTTTAACTGTTGACTTTAACTTATTTTCCACTTATTATCCTGACTTGCCAGACGGGTTTTTCTCTGCTTGTTATAATTCTCCCATCACCTGTGCTTTATTTCCTGATAACAACTTAAAAAATTTACTTAGGAGTATAATTATTTATTTAATGTCTGCCGCCCTTTCCGGAATACAAGCTTTATCAAGGGTTTGATTATATCCTTCTTTGCCACTGACGCTTCCTGAGTGACCACCGCCATCCCTCGGTCGTATTAAATAGTTAATTAATATTTGTGGAAAGGATGACTGGATAAGGAAAAGCAATAAGAGATCCAACTATTTAGAAGCTTCTACATTCCTAAAAGATTTAAAATGCAAATGAAAAACTGACAAAAAATATTTGTAACTTATGCAAAAAAAGTTTATGTTCTTAAAAACAGATTATAATTACAAGCTCATAAAACAATGATGAACAAAAATGAAGAACCATACAGGGAAATGAACGCAGGGTCTAGAGAGCATGTTCATAAACGAATCAATGCAAATGGCCAATTAAACTGAAAAACAAGCCTGCACTCTTCAGTGTTCTAAAAAAAGATACTTATTTAAAAAAAATAGTCAGTAGTGGCAAGGATTGGAAATAGGCATCTTCTTCTGTTGGGGGTCCCACAATGGTAGCAAACTATCAGGAAGGTGCTCTGGTGATGTGTGTCAAATGCTGTAAAAATAAAATAGTTCCACTCAATGAGTCGATTTCCAAAAATTTATCATAGGGACATCAGTAGAGGTTCATGCAGATACGTATCCATAAGAATGCTTATTAAAGTGTTACTTGTAATCATAAAAAACTTAAGCCAAATTTAATGCCCAATAATAAAGGATTGGTGTCTATAATGGGGCATATCCTTCTCTAAGCAACCATTAAAATACACGGCTCCAAAGGACATTTAAGAATTTTTTTTTAAATTTCTGACTTGTTTAGCTATCAAAGGAGACCACAACACAAAATGCACAGTAAGAATTTAATTTTTAAAAAGAAAAAATATATGTGCATGGACATAAAGAGATCTCCCATTATGGGGATTATGAGTGATGTTGTTCTTTTCTTTATTTTAATCTTTTCGTATATTCTTGATATTCAACAAACTCTGTGTATCATGTCCGTAATGAGAAAAACTAAATATATTTTAATTTAACAATAGGGAACTGATTGCAACATATGGCCGAGGCTCTGTCTAGAGAGGCATAGCATGACGATTGAGAGTATATGCTTTGAAGCTCACAGACAGGTGTTTAGTTCCCTCTTTACAACTTAAGAGCCATATGACCTTGGGCAAGTTATTTAATTCTCTTCACCTCAGTTCCCTTATCAACACAAGAGAGATAATACCTACTGGGCAGAGCTGTTTTGTGGCTTAAAAGAAAGAATGTATGTAAAAATTCTGATCAAAGAGTAAGCACTGAGTAAAAGTACCTGCTTTTATAAGGCCAAAATATAAATAGAGCTGGTATTGATTTACATGAATTCATGATTCTCTAGGGGGTTATAACTAGAAGTTTGGGGAATTGTTATGTTATGGTTCAGCATCTTCCAAACTGTCCTAATGATGGTGGAATCCAGCAGGAGGATGCTGGCAGGAAGACGGGCCTGCAACACAAGCAGCCCAAGACAGGTTTTGCTCATTAGGGCAATATGCTGGCATAGGTCATTTATTCACCTATTCATCCAACCAGCAAATGGTTATTAAGCATCTACTGTGTTCCAGACATTGGAGACTCAGCAGCGAGACAAACTAGCTGCCTTTTTGGAGTGAGGCAAGCTTCTTCTAATTGGACTGAGGCTTCAGGGCACACATTTCCCATTGGATTCAAGTGAGGAAGCACTTCCTATAGCTGGAGAAAATTTGGCAGGGTTTGGAAAGTGAAGTTTTCATTGCATCCTGCAAATACCAATCCTAAGGCAAGATTCTAATTCAAGAATCCCACATGTTGGCATGGCTAGGGGACCTACGGGGGTCCTCCCTCCCCTGGTCAGGCTTAGCTGAAGATGAGACTTGCTCAGGTTGTGGGTGAAGAGCCATCGGCCTTCCAGGAGAGGGATGAGCAAACTATGGGCCAAAGGTCAACTGCAGCCATTGCCTGTTTTTAGAAATAAAGTTGGATTGACATGCAGCCATGCCCATTCATTAATGGATTGTCCAAGGCTGTTTTATGCTACAAGTACAAAGTAGAGTAGTTGCCCCAAGGACTGTATGGCTCACAAATATTTATTATTTGACCCTTTACAAGGAAACTTTGCCAGCCTTCTGTTCAGCCGGGTCAGTGGGGTTGGGGACATGAAATGGAAGATGACATCAAGTTCCTAACTTTTTCTTTATATAGTTCCAGGAGCTGTTCCTCTAGAGTCCATCCAAGGAGGGCCCTTTGAAGAGAAGATCTACATCCAATGGAAACCTCCCAATGAGACCAACGGGGTCATCACGCTTTACGAGGTAAGGAAGCCCCTCTTGTCATATCACTTGTCATGGCGTCAGTCCGTTGACTTCAGCCAGAGGTTGGCGAACACCTACTGTGTGCAGAGCTCCACTGAGGGCGTGAAGGTGAGTGAGACACAACTTCCCAACATGGGGGAAGAAAACACAAGGACATACAGTTGAGCTGTCTCAGTGGCCCCAATAACAAAGATTAATGGACATCCTCTGCATCGAAGTGATCCTCGATCTCTTCAGCAAAGGCTTCGGGAGAGTCAGGTCATCCTGGTATAGCCCAGAAGGCCCAGGCCTGGCAAACAGTAGTTATGATTCATCTAGAAAACCACAATACAAACACACGCGCCATCCTACCCACAGCAGTCCCTGGCTTCCCGAAGAATCCCAATGTCATTCTCTCCCTGGGAGGGACATGATTCTTGAGCTTTACCATTGCTCTGTGGCCAAGGCATATTTTATTGTCATCCAGGTGATGGTGTCCCAGGCTTAGCAGGACCGTATCCTATCAGAGATGGAGCAGAAATGACTCATAAGCCAACACAATGTGGCTTCCTGATTACTTTCAAAATTAGAATGAACTGTATAGAAGTCCACTGCAAAACAAAAACAAACACCCAAAAACTTAGGCTGACATGGCTGAATTCTAGTGTAGGAGTATGGCCAAGATTGCCTCTGCCCCAGGCCTTGTGTTCCGAGGTAGCGGACTGTGATGCGGGGGGCAGTGGAAAAACCCAGCGATGCAGAGGGACTCCATGGCAGCCAGCCAGAGGGGAAGATGGAGCCCAGTATCCTGGTAGCTCAGCTCTGGTCTCAGGTGCCTTTTGGCAAGTTCTTCCTCTCTCCCAGCTTCCGTTCCTCATCTGTAAAACGGGGGTGGTAGCTCCCACCTCAGGGTTCCTCTAGGGAGTCTGAAGGGGAAGGAAGGCACAAGCATCCCCAGGCTGAAATGCATTGCAGGCCCATGGAGGGACTTAGGCACTCAGCAGTCATGCAGAAAGGGACATGTATTGAGACTGTGCTCGGGGAAGGGTATTCCCACCGCCAGGGACAGTGAGCTCTGGGGAGGGAAGCCAAGGAGTAGTCAATGAGGGAGACATACTCAGGATGAACCTGATGGACACATGCTGTCTAGAGAGACCATATGGGCCTTAGAGCTCATGGAAGCGAACACTATCCATTAGGTACAAGGTGCTCAAGAAAACACATTCAGAAAGCACTTTATCTCACATAATGCAGGGGTCCTCAGAAGGTGAGCTGTTTACATCCCAATCCTGGGCCACATGATCAAAAGCTTCCTTCCTGGGGATGCTGCTGGTAGGGGGTGGCTCAAATCGAAACACTTTGCCTAGGGTGGGTCCAATACCTCATCAGGGAAGAGTGGGGCTGGAAGCTCAGCTGAAACAAAGCCCAGTCATTCCATAGCTACATGCTGTTCTTTGTAAAGCAGAAGCCAAACTTACACACATGCGTGTGCGCACATGCGAACTAGAGAGCTATTGTGTATGGCAACCTGCTCTTTGTAAAGCAGGGGCAGAGGACCTGGGACGTGGAGAGCTGAGTTGCTTAGTACTGTTATATAAAAGACTGTCTGTGCCAGGTGCTCAAGATTTTTGGAATTCGCAGGCCGTTAACATTTCCAAAGGTTTGGGGGACCAACTTGGATTGCTTTACCATATTTTAGCATCATTTTGTAAAAGACATGATTTTAAAAATATAGAGAGGACATAATTTCAGAATAAAAGGCAGTCCTTCCCATTGAATAAGTTTAGATCATCATGAATAATGCCAATCTTCTTATTTTCTCTCATTTTGCTTTAAATTGAGGACAACTTCGCCATTAAAAGGCCCTGATCCTTGTATCTACCTTCACTTGGGAACCACTGGTCTAGGCAGGTGGAGTCGTATCTCGGCACAGCCCGCTGTCTGTGATAGGATTATGCACCAGGTGGGGCTAGGAAAACCCGTGATTGCTATTCCAGAATGAGCAGAAAGAAACAGATGGAGCGGGAACAAGAGTGCAAACCCAACTGTGAGTTAGACACCCTGTTTGAGCCATTGCTCCCCGAAGTTGAGGCTTCGTTAGATGGTACACCCTCTTGAGCTCTGGGCACAAAGGTGGGCAGACCTTGGGACAATGCACCCTGCCTCTCACTTTGATGTGAACCCAGTGCCTTGAGGATTTTCAAAGGCTGGTTGCTGGGGTTGGCACTCCTGCGATGTGCTCTACTGGACACAGCTATGGTGAGACACTGTCAAGTAGCCCTTTGGGTGCTACTGAGACCAGAGCTTGAAGGCTGCAGCTGTCTGACTTGTTTAAGAGCATGGGAGATTACCTGTGGGGAATATGCCTGAGTTCTTGGATGATGCTGTGAAGAGAGCTAAGGAAGTCGTGGGCTTGGGTCCCTGTATTTCGAGCATAAACATGGCTCTGACCATGTGTGTTACAAGTGAGTGAAGCCACAAGTGAGTGAAGCCTTAGAAAGCAAGAATGCTGACCCTTGAAACATAAATATATGCTTAGTACTGTGTTTGGCATTTAGAAGTATTCTTAGTAACTGTTAGCTCTTATTATTACATAAAAAGGAGAAAATTGAGACTCAGAGAGGTGAAAAGACAAGACCAAGGCCATACAGCTGAGATGGCAAATTCATAGGTCCTGAATTCAAGTGCAGGTGTCCTGCACCGTAGTCAGTGTGGTTCATGGACCAGTAGCATCAGCAACACATGAGAGCTGGTTAGAAACCCAGCATCTGAGGCTGCTTCGCCAGACCTTCTGAATCAGAGCTTCCATGTCAGCAGGCTGCCTGGGTAATTCACGTGGTACTAACATTTGAGAAGCACCACTCTAGACCACATAACTCTTGAGAAAGTTTTGACACCAGATAAAAGAGTGTGTCCTCTTCGGTAGGGAGGTGGGGAGTGCCCTCCCTGCAGGCCTCATCCCAGTCCTGCTCCAGAAAGTGAGCAGACCCTGCTTCTAAAGACATTTATAACAGAGTGTACGTTCATGAGGCAATTCCCAAATTTAATAAGATGAAACCAATTTGATTTTTAACATTAGCTGCTGGTTGTAATTCTAGAGAGAAATTCGTAAATTATAAATCATCCTCTCCGGCCTCAAAGAGTATATATTGTGACAAAGAAAAATAGACTCACACAAATGGAAGAGAAATTCGATTGTCTGTAGCTTCCTGTGTACAGCCTCGAACTAAGCAAAGTCAAAATCCAAAAGGGGAGAGGGGTGTAGGCAGGTTATAACTGTCTAGTATTGTGACTTAGTTAAGCAGTGCAGGTACAGGTAGTATATAATCTGTTAAGATTAAATTTTCTTCCCTGTGAGTCCAAATCATAGCCTGTGGGTTCGTCCTTGAACAGTTTTACCCCCAAAATCTGAGTGACTTTCATTATGTCTCATTCTGTCTCTGGGCTTTCATCCTCTTTTTGTAACCTGAACATGTCAGATTGTTCCAGGCTCCAGCTGGGTAAGAATCAAGAGAAAAAGAAATTTTTGTCAAACCTACAAAATCAGAGGTTTATACCTCATTTTGGAATTGCTCTGATGTTAAAACCTCACCTGTGGCCAGAGTCTTCGAAGGCAAAGCAGCGATGACACGTGAAGAAAAACAGCTAGTGCAAAGGCCCTGGGGTAGGAATGACTTCAATGTGTTTGACAGGTAGGAGGTGAGGGTGATTGAAACTTTGTGAGTGGGGAGGACCATGCTAAGACCATGGGTTGGCAGGGTCTGGGGGCTTATAGAGTTTGTGCTTTATCTTGAGAGGAATAGAGCACCCTAGGATTTTAAGCAGAAAAATGAAGGAGTCAAATTTTATATTCTTAAAAGATCACCTGGCTGTTGTGTGGCTAACAAAGCATCTCGGGGACATCTGAAAAATGTACCAGGAGGTAGGGACATTTCCATCATCTATGATATGGCATTGAGAGCTGCACTTTTTATTGAGGACCTTGTACCCATGTGTAGAGGGGAAATCTTGGTCCCATCTGCCTCCTTCTGTACTTTAGTGGGAGATGCAGAATGCTCTTCTGCAATGGCAGAGTGACAGGTAGTGCAGAGTTAGGTCATGTCGAAGGTCCACGAAGCAGTGGATCGACCTCAGACATGCAGTCTCAGGCCCTGGCCCACACACACTGAATCCAACTGTTTGAAGAAGATTTCCATATGATTCATGTGCACATTCAAATGTGAGAAGCACTGGTCTCGGAGACATTGTAAATAAAGCTTGGCCTGGTGAAAACATTGCAGTCCTTGGATGAATGATGTGGCCATTGAATGAACTGAGTGATGTCCCTGCTCAAATGAGGTCCAAAGAGCTGAGTATTTTCACTAGGAATGTGAAATCGGGCTGTTCTTAGAGACCCTTCCAGAGCCCTTCCTGGGCTGGAATGAGATAGCGGGGTTCCCCAGTCAGGGCTGGTGTGTGAAGAGGGTTGGTGTGGCCTTCCCCATTCTGAGTGTGCTCTTGTGAACAACACAGCTCACCAAAAATAGACTCTCAGCACTACAGACAGGCGCCGGCGGCCCAAATGAGGTCACAGGGAAAAAGTCCAGCCAAACGGTTGTTTGAAAACTCCTCGATAAAATCATTCGCAGGCAAGCTGTTCAGAGTTCATGAAAAACAGTAATCAATATGTGTCTCAATTCAATTCATTGTTCTCGTCTCTGTCCCAAAATAAAAATCACGCAGTGAGAAGGAATTGGGCCAGAAGATGTTACACCAGCAACGGGGTTAACGAAGTGTGAAAATATTTAAAATTCAGACATGTAAAGCTTCCCTGTAAGCTTTTCTGTTTAGCAGTCAAAATCACCAAGTTTCTAATTACAGTGTATAAATCTGAGGCGCTTAAAGGGAATGAGAGGGCCTTAATGAGTCAGGAATGGGTGTCTTGATTATGCTAGAGTTGATTGACATTTATCTCACAAGCTATTCTGGGCGCCTGGCGTTCAGAGTTGAATAAAACACGCACTTTGCCTCAGTAAAATAAG